ACAAATGTGCGTTCATACGATTAATTTTGTTTCTAACAATTAATTGTTAACATATTTGAGGCAAAAATTGCTGCAAGAACATGCACAATCATATCGCCCGAATATAGGTTTAATGTTTTTCACATGAATATAAAATGAAATCAAATTCATTCCTTAAAAACCTACAAAATATTTCAGCATAGGCTATAAATAGTGTGCGCTTATTCAAAATAAGGGGTCATGCAACGTGAAAACCTATAAAACAATGACTCACTCAGATACAAAATTTGTAATAAATATTAAGCTATCTATTGTATGAGCATAATATTAGTCATTCTGACCTATATTTTTTACGAGCGATGAGAAACCCATAAAAACATATTGCCACTCCTAAGTACCATGTAACAGGAGGCATAGAGTCACGCGAATGCGCGACATCACAGGCTAGTAAACCATGATGGAAGGTGCCAGTATTAGGCCGTGTGTTTAGTGGTAGGGGCTGGAAGCTTCTTTCCCGCGCACGTAAAACAAGGTGGCTCATTAGCGCATGAATAATTAAGTCTTAGCTTAAAGAAAAGGGAGAATTGCAAATATATCACTACTTTCCACCCCCTAACTCGGAATAGCCATTAGAAAAACATGAATTGCAAATTTGCCACTTAAGTTAGCATTAGAGGGAATGGGAAGGAGAATTAAATTCAGTTAGCATCCATTTGATATGCTATGGAGCCTTAGCCAAATGTTTCTTGTCTTTTGTTTGTTGCCTCAGATGCTATAATGTTTATACCTTTTAACGATGTTAGCTCATGCCGTCAATCCAATGGCAGGTAGGTAGGGTTCAAATCATTTTTAGTGGCAAATTTGCAATTGCAATTTTTTTAATGGCATATTCACAATACCGGTTCAATCGAGTGGCAAATATGCAATTGGTCCTAAAGAAAAACATAAAAATGAATTAATATGATTTTTTTAAAATTAATTTTACTATTTTTTTTTGCGAAAAAACGTGTTGTACATCTAGCCATTCGGGAAGTTTACTCGCAGAAAACAAATGAGTAGAAGGTAGGAAGAAAGAGTATCAATAAATTTGTACTTCTAGAGGGGTTCATAATACTTGTCATCTTGAACAAAGACTATTGTCAAAGTTTTAAAGACTTGGACTATGAATATCATGATGTAAAGTATGTGTTAGAAATAAGGAGAACTATATTAGTTTTAGTCTAAAAATAGCATAAATAAAATTATATATTTATTAATATTTCTATATATATGTAATAAAAAAATAGGGATGAATCCATTTTACACCCTTCAAGTCCTGTCTAGGTCTAAAATTCATAGCAAACTCTAAAACCGGGTATCCAACACTCTCTAAATATCAAAATAGTTCAATTTACCCACCTTTGGCCCAAGGCACGAGGTTTTGACTCGATGGCACGGACCAGGCACGGCAAGGCCCGATTGCTGTCAGGCCCGTGCCGGCACGGCCCAGCTGTTGGGCTGTGCCTGGGCCTATGCCTCATCATGGTGGGCCGGCCTAGCACGACATGAAGTTCAAGGAGGTGAAATAGACTTACTTTCGACCATATGTAAGACAGGGCACAGAGAATAGGAAGACAAATCGACGTATTATATGGCACGACTCAAAGAGTAGGGACGTAAAATAGACTTATTTTAGCTATATATATGTCACAACCCAAAGAGGAGGGAGGGAAATAGACTTATTTCAAAGAAAGCACGATGGGCTGCCCGTGCCTTCGGGCCGGCCCAGCACGGCCCGACCCTTATTGGGTGCCTGGGCCATAGGTGGAGCACGTGGGCCGGCACGGTACGACCTGGTGTGTAGGTCGAACCGTGCCAGCCCGACAAATCTTGGCCTAGGCCATGCCGGGCCGGGCGGGCCATTTGGCCAACTATAATTGTGGCGCAACGCAGAGAGAATGATTTGAGACGATGGTGTTGTGAGCACGAACTGGCAATTACACATTCTGGTACCTCCTCAAGGATGGTAACTCCTCTCAAACAAAACAAAACTAACTTTGTTGCATATTATAAATTAGAGATCTTTTACGGTACTTGGAAGGTACCTTAGGTACCTCCTTAATCAATTGATATCTACCGTTAATTCATAAAGGGTAATTTAGGAAAAAAAATTATATTAACAGGGGTATCTTAATTAGTGGCAGTGGCAGCTTGTGTGACGGCGTCGACCGGCGGGAGCGTGCGCGGCGGCTGTGACCAGCGGGCGTGATGGGCGCGTGTGGCGGTGGTGACGGCGAGTCGGCGACGGGCGGGCGCTATGGGCGCAACAAGCGCATGCGGTGGCGGTAATGGAGACCAGCGGGCGCAACAGGTGCATGCGGCGGCGCGACGATGACCGGCTGCCGTGTGTGTCGGCTTGGACTGGCGGGCGCTACGGGCGCGTGCGGCGGCTGCGATGGCGACCGGCTGCCACATTAGTCAGCTGTGACCGTAGGGCGTGTACGGCGGCGGCAACCCCAGGGCGCGTGCAGCGGCTGCGATCGGTGGGTGCGTCCGGCTTCGACGAGGAGAGCTCCAAAGCGGCGATGGCGCGGGCGGCTGCCGCGAGCTAGCGATCCTGTGAGCCGAGCTCACGGTCGTCGACGCTGTAAGGGGTGCCCGTCTGCCTCCGTCTCTCCCCCTATGCCTCAGCGCCTAAGTCACCTCCACCGACGCCTCGAACCAAGCAGCGATACGAATGGATGGAATACAGAACAGAACATATATAGGAAGGATATACATATATTGAAGGCAAAATTTGCTACAGGACACTCAAAAAATATGTAATTAGCTATGGGACACCACGAAAACAAGAATTTGCCCGAGGACACTAAAAAAATGTGGTAATTTGCTGCAGGACACTGGACACATTATAGTATAATATTTGTTCAATTGATGAGAGAGAAACAACGTAAAATGACAGTTTTGCCCTTATCTTCTTCTCCCTCTAGATCTTGCCGAACCTGGAGAATAGCCTCCTCATCTCGTCGTGTTGGGCGTGCGACGGGAGAGAGATCGACCAGAGACAGCCGAGAGAGAGATCGGCGCCGGCTGAGTTCGACGCATCGCCATCTCGTCCCTGCTGCATCGCCATCCGAGGAAGAGAGCTCCAGCTCTCCCTCTCTATCTCTCTTTTGTTGTCGACCGCCGAGAAGGAGGGCGCCGCCGATCACCAACGAGCTGTCTCCATTCCTATCTAATTCATGTTCTATTATCTTCTCTCCATGCCGATCAAATCTCGCTTTGACAACCTCTCGATTCGTGCAGCCAATCGACGGGAACGCTGTCGTGCCCACCAGAGCTCTGGAGCGCGCTCTGTGCACCGCCGCAGCGACATCATCGCCGTTCCCGCTTATCTGGACCAAGCCGGGCCAAGCTGTCGCGCCAGCATCTCCGCCTCATCCTCCTCTCTATCTCCCCTCAAGGACCCCGAAAAATGGTGCGCCGGAGAAGGAGATCACACCCCTTCTTCATCGGCGCCGATCTGAACCCGCCGCCATCGCCATGGTCGATTCCGCTTTCTCCGGTGAGCAGTGGTGACGCCGGGACCCAAGTCGTGATGCCAAGACCCATCGTAGCCTCCCCGCCTGCGCTTGGTGCTGCCGCTCAGCCGCGCCCCGCTACACCGGCACTGTCGTCGCCTACCCGCCATCGATCTAGCTGGACACCGCGCCTCCATGGTCGTGCCATGCCATCGACCGCCCTGGCCGCCGATGTTGCCGCACCACGCCGCGCCGACCTCGCCCCACCGCGGCTTTGAGGCTGCTATGCCGTTCTCGGCGAAATCAACAAGAAGGTGAAAAGAAGGAAAGAGTGGGAGAAAAGGAAGGAAAGAGAAGGGGCAATCCAGGAATTTAGAAAAATATCTCACCTCTTTTGACCCAGAAATAATAAAATAATGCGACCGGTGTCCTAGAGCTAATTACACATTTTTTGTAGTGTCTATCAGCCGTGTCACGTTTTCGTGGTGTCTCCCAGCCAATTACACGTTTTTTGAGTGTTCTGAGGCAAATTTTGCCTATTGAAAATTAGACGTTTTGGCCCTTAACCGTAAAAATCAATTATAATACTCAATTACCATTTTAACCTTTCACCTTCCATACCTGGTCCACACTTTTAATACATTTTTCCTGATACTTCTCTCTTAGAGCGTTAGATCATTAGTGATAAACGATCCTAATTAATTCCAAGCACAGAAGAAGATCTCTATAAATTAGGATTCGAAAAGATTACAAATGTACATAGTACTATAGAGAGCTTTTAAGGTGCTTGAGAGGTACCAGAGGTACCTCCCTTACTACTTTCTGGTACCTCCCTTACTACTTAATCACCCACCGTTGATCTGTTAAGGGCAACTTAGGAATAGAAAACATTAATAAACACCGATAATTAACTCCTTTTACATGTAACCGTCTATCTCTTTTTTTGCATCAAGTTATTACTTATCTCCGATTCTGTCGTTCGCATCGTTTCTAGGTAATTCAATTTTTTTTTGCGTTTTAGTACATGAGATCATAAATCCTAACACTTGTCCAAAATCCCCTTTCCCTAATTGATTCTTCAGGTCCTCATCTAAATTTAGACTCCAAAGAAACAAATATAATCCTCTTTCGTCCATACACAAAGACAAGTATGGCTCGATCAACCAGTTTGTTGAATCTGTGTATGTATACAAAATTCATGGTCATTGTGGATCATCAGTGGTGGTGGCGTTTCGTCCGTATGGTACTTGCTGAAGAAAGCTGTTCTTATCAGCAAGCAGGGCTTATCGATCCTAATTCTTTTACTGATTAAAGCCCCACCCTCTAATCTGTATGAAACTAAAGTTATCAATCTAACCTTCCACCTAATCATCAAGTTAATACCTTGCTCATTTTTTTAATTATACCTTCTGAGACATACCTTTTATCACAGACCGTTAGATGGCAACTGGCAAGTAATCAACGGACACCATAACTCCCAAGCACCGGAGGAAGTCTCAGTACTATAATAAGCAAAACATCTAAGCGATTAATTACTTAGCATAAAACACCTAAATCATAAAACTAAGAAAATCTCATATATATATATGCCTAAATTCTGCTTAGATTAAATTTGATGATGTAGGCAGCTACAGCTAGTCGTCGAAGGCCCAGGCGTTCTCCTGGCGAATCGCCGCCTCCTCCTCCGGCGTGAAGTCGTTCTCGATCGAAAACGTCTCCCTCATCTGCTCCGGCGTCTTGCCGGACATCATGTCCGCCACGCGCTGGCACGTCATGTCCAGCAAGCTCTTGATGTTCAAGAAATTGGCCGCCAAGATCAGCTTGAACAGCACCGGATTCTCGAGGGCTTGCACCAACTCGGCGTCGAACTTCTTCAGCTCCTCCTCCGTGCTTGATGCTTTCATGGTGTCGCCGGCGGCGGCGGCGTCGCCGGCGTGCATGTTGCAGTAGTCGACGACCATGGTGAGGATGTCGCCGTCGACGTTGGGGAGACGCACCCCGTTCTCCGTGCAATCGTCCTCGATCATGTTGGATATCAGCTGCGATTGGCTCGCCACCGCCTCCGTCACCTCGAAGCGTTTCCCGTCGGCGCTGATCAGGATGATCATCTTGCCGCCGCCATCGGTCGTGGCCTCCGCTGCTGCTGCCGCCATTGTTGATGAACTTCTGACGATAATCTAATCCTGAAGTAGTATTATTTGGTCGATGGCTTGGAAAGTTTGGTGTTAATCAGATAGAACCTCGCGGCGTGATTGTATTTATTGCATAAAGCAGCGTGAGATAATTAAACTCCGAGTAGGAGTCGTATTTTAATCTCATTTTACTACTGTAATAATTGTAAATTAATTAATATCGAGAAATAATTAGAGTACTCGTTTCCAAAAGGAGTCTAATTAGACTATGGAAGAAGGTTCCGAAGATCAGTCCAGTTAAAAATCTCTCGAGTCTCGACGACGTACGTACACCAAACTAACGCGGAAATCACCGAAAATCAATTGAATTCGGATTGGATTTCGACTCCACATGACCGAATCCGAGTTGTTTTTGCGCGGTTTCACGCAATAAAAACACACCACCTCCTCTCTCGCCATGATCCAAGCACACCCAACGTTTACGTTCCAAGAAAGACAAGAAACAGTTGAGCTTTGCAATCCGCGAGTTTCGTCCGTCCGTGTTTCAAAGTAGCGAGATCAATGGCGGCAGACAAGAAGGAGGTTGCCGACGACACGATCCTCTTAATCAGCTCCGACGGCGAGCACTTTAACGTGCCGTCGGCGGCGGCGAGCCTGTCGCAGCTCGTCTCCAACATGATCGAGAACGACTGCACGACGAACGGGGTGCCTCTCCCCAACGTCGCCTCCAAGGTCCTCGCCAAGGTCATCGAATACTGCGTCAAGCACGCCGCCGCCGCGGAGGACGAGGAGAAGGAGCTGAAGAGCTTCGACGCCGAGTTCATGATCGACGTGGACAAGAACATGCTGTACGGCTTGCTCCTGGCGTCCAATTTCCTGAACATCAAGAGCTTGCTGGATTTGTGCTGCCAGCACACGGCGAACCTGATCAAAGGCAAGTCGCCGGAGCAGATCAGGAAGGAGTTTGGGATCAAGAACGACTTCACGCCGGAGGAGGAGGAAATCCGCAAGGAGAACACATGGGCGTTCGAGTAGATTATTAGAAAATTATATATATATATATACATATATATATATATATATGTCACAACCCAAAAAAGAGGGAGGGGAAATAGATTTATTTTAAAGAAAGCACGATGGGCTGTCCGTGCCTTCGGACTGGCTCAGCATGGTGCCCCGACCCCTATTGGGCCGTGTCGGGCTGGGTGGCTCATTTGGCCATCTATAACTGTGGCGCAACATATAGCGAATGATTTGAGACGATGGTGTTGCAAGCAGGAGCTGGCAATTACATATTCCAATCCTACCCTTTTTAAATAGACGGTTATATTTAAATGGTGAGATCTTCTTCTATACTTGGAATTAATTAGGATCGTTGATCTCTAATGATCTAACGCTCCAAGAGAGAAGTTACTAGAAGAAAGGTATTAAAAGAGTGGGCAAAGTATGTAAGGTGAAAGGTTAAAATGGTAATTGAGTTTTATAATTGATTTGTATGGCTAAGGACAAAATCGTCTTTTTTTTAGATCTGTATCCTACTCCTATCCGTTTCAAGATAAGCTGCATTCATGCAGCAGAGGAGGAAGAACGTTGTGCTTCTTTATGTAGTTAAACGTTTATGTAATACTTTTACCGATATGTCTTGTCACCGCCGTACGCGCCCGCCGCTCACCGAGGCCGCACGCGCCCACCGGTCTCAGCCGCTGCACACACGCTGAGGTCGCTGCTGAATTATGCGCCCTCCAGTCACAGCAAACTAACGCGGCAGTCGGTCGCCGTCTCCGCCGCCGCACGCGCCCGTCTCGCCCGCCCATCGTAGCCGACGTATGCGGCAGCCAGTCGACATCACCGCCGCCGCACGCTGGTCATAGCCATTGCTCGCGCTAGCCGGTCGCCGCCTCGCACGTGCTTGCTGGTCGCCGCCGTCGCGCGCGCAGCCCCTGCTCCTTGCCTCCGAGCTCGTTCAATTGGGATTGGAATTGATTATGGTTAAGCACTGAAATCGTGGAAAGGAAATCGTGAACGCTTGGCAGTGGATGGAGAACCGGTGATTGGTCAATTACTAAGCTATCCTTGTTAATAATAAATTTTGTCCCTAAATTAACCTTTGTGAATTAACGGTGGATATCAATTGATTAAGGAGGTAGATACCTGGTGGTACCTTGAGACTCCTCAAGGATAGTAAAATTCCTCTTAAACAAAACAAAACTTTATTGCACCAACTCATTCTTACACCTACATTACTCATTCATCAAATCCAACTATCAGTATTCATCTACAAATAATCGAGTGGCCCAGATGAGTCCCCCCTTCCCTCCGCGCTCCTCCCCGAGCCCACCTTGGCACCCTCTCTCTCGCGCGCGTAACTCCCTCTCACGCCCCCCCTCCCCCCTCGCCTTCTCTCTTCTGCCCCTCGCCCATCGCCGCCGGCGCCGCCTTTCCCGATCCCCAAACCCTACCCCGCCGCCGGCACTGCGGATCCCCGATCTCCACCGCCAGAGCTGCGTCATCAGACTCGGCGACGCCCATCTCCGCGCCGGCTCCGATCACCACCGCCCAGACGCGCCCGCCTGATCTCCACCACCAGACACCGTTGCCCGCCTCCTCTCCTCGTTGCCCGCCTCGGTTGTCTCCTCCCGTCCTCCGTGCCGCCCCCGATCTCCACCACCCAGACACCGTCGCCTGCCTTGTCGCCCGCCTCCACCCAGCCATGGATCTCTGATTCGTATAAAGGTACATAAATCCTCCTCTCGTTTCATCATATGGTTCTTAATATATTCCATAATCAACCAAAATACAACGACCAAAACAATCATTATGGTATATTATCATGTCCAAGTTCTGATGAATATAATGACAATGTTTTCTATATTGATTGCACCACTAAAATATGGGATGTCATCAGTATTTTATTTTTTAAGCTTTCTCCCTGAATTGGTTTCATCTCATCAGTGTAAGGAATTGCTTGAGTATAAGACTCTTCTGTCAAGAGGGCCGTCTCACCGTCATTTCAGCCTACGGCGCTGCCACCATTATCTATTCCCATATCACTACGAACAGGTGTTTCGCACTCGCAAAACCTCCTTCCCTGAATTGAAGGTACAACCAATTTCATGTGTTTTATAATTTTATAATGGGAAACCTGTTTAGATTGTTGAGTTTTCAGATTATTTAGAATGGGGTGCCTGTTTAGATTGCAGCATAGGTAAAATAATAATAATAAAAAAATACTCAATTCAGTTCTAACCCCTTGATGTATTATTTCAGTTGAAGTTCAGCTTCTAAAAACGTATATCACCTCTCTAAACATGGTGTGTACTAAAACTAATGAGAAATGCTTCCTCTTGATTGAGCAGATATTCATTGTGAAACAGCTCTATAAACCATGTTTCTTCTATCATCAGAACACAAGGCTGAATGAAAAATGCCTGAGTGAGCATTCCTCTGAATATTTCTGAATTTGGCGATATCATTTCTGGGTTGTTCTGAGTGAATTTTCAATATAATCATTTTTTTTATTTTAGTCATGATTGATTTGCACACTAGCGTCGTCATCTGGCAGGAGAACAAGCCACCCATTCAAAAATCGGCGTTGGCCAACCAGCCGCTTCTCTTCTTGGGACCCCTTGCTGTTTACCGTCGACGTCGGTTTTTTTCTGACTTGTAGGTTCTACTCTTTTATTCCCCTGTTTTCCTTGTGTGATTGATACATTGGTTAATTAATGATGCAGAACCAGCCTTTTGTTTTTCTGTGCTACCAAAATTGACCTTGCTAGCTATGAACGACATACGTCTTGGCATATCTATTTTGGTAAAAAGATTAAATTTTATTGTACATACGATTTGTGCCCTTTACAGTTCCTAAATCCTGCTGGCGGATACGTTCACTTAAGCTTTGCTCAATGCGATCATTCACACTATAAGTTTCTCAGATTTTTTTTTCTGAATAAGCTGATAAGTAGTACTATGCCACCTGTGAGAAGAAAAAAAGTTATTGTTTGTATGTGTGAGAAAAAAAGGTTATTTTCTGCATGTGTGAGAAAATAAGTTATTAATTATCTGCATATGTTTCCCTAGTTCAAATAGCAGGCTTAATCTTTTGTCAAGCTAGGAAAAATTCTAACCGTCTCAGCATTACTGCAGAGTGTTTGGGCTGCAACTAATTTTTGAAGTACAGTGAGTCTCAGACCTTGGAGATAAATTACTGAAGAACTGGACTCTAATGTGAGTACCTGTTTAATATCTGTTCTATTAACCTTGAAAGATTTCTTTGTAACAAGTTTTAAATTCAGTCAACACTGCTTAAGACTTAAAATAATTAAGTATATTTTTCTTATAAATTCTGTGCCGCTATGGCTCTTTTCAATGCGCGCATTCACTGTTTGGAATGCGAGTATGTTCAAACTTAAGAGTAGCATTTGGATATTGCTGTTTTAAAACCATATTGGTGAATATGCAGATTTCTGACTTGCTCTTTTCAACAAAAATAAACTATGATATACACACATTACTTCAGCAAACATGACTTTAGCAGCTAAGCTTTTCTGAAACTTGATGTGTGTGTGTTTAGTACTTCCTCCGTTTTATATTATAAGACTTTCTAGCATTGTCCACATTCATATATATGTTAATGAATCTAGACATGTATGTGTATTTAGATTCATTAACATCTATAGAGGGAGTATGTTTGTTGAAGTCTGATTTTAGAGATAAACTTAGAGGTACAATTGCTCAGCTGCCAAGATCTGTTTTATAGAGGTACAATTGCTCAGCTGCCAAGATCTGTTTTATAGGGGTACAACTATACAAATGTGACTCATGGCTTCTTCTTTTTTCCCTCTCTTTAATTAAGGCTGATGAAAGATCGGGTCCGTGCATTTGAGAAGAGGATGAGGAGGGATCTGTTCGTTGGTTGCAGGCTTGCCAACTTCCTTGGGTTTTGTGGTGGGTGCTATCTTTTCGCCCGTGTCTACATGTAGTTGTTTGATGAAAACAAATCAACGAACACACAGAAAATAGAGAAACCCTGTATTTTATTAATCATGATTCATTAACATGAATGTTTACAAAATACATAGGAGGGCTCCCACAGAAGTTCGCCTTTTGCCTTCGCGAGGAATGCTTAATGGAAAGGTATGCTAACTGGAGATTGCGTGCAGTCTGCTGATTCCCGGCGCCTAGCAATGAGGCTGCCGGTTAATTACATCCATAGGACGAGCCTATGGAATACCTCTGATTAAGCTGCGCTTTATGATCGTCGTCTTCAAAATTATTTGCTCGCCCAAGATTGAGGTTGGTGCAGATTTAATGGTGAATATAGTGAATATGTAATGGGTGGCTTTGTTTTGCCAAAACCCAATCACAATACACTACCATCACGTCGGTGTGTGGAGGGAATTTGGTGAAGCGGGTGACTTTTGCCTCGTCGGTGCTCAGTCATGTATCCCGGCCTTCATCAAACATGGATTTTGTGGTTGCTTTTGCTTCGTCGGTGCCCAGCAACGGTGTATCCGGCTCCGTCCATTTTAGACGTGTTAATAGTATAGTGACCTGGCCTCGTCGGCACTCAGCCATGATTTCGTCTAGCCTCGTCGGTCATAGACAAATGAAATGAGTGAATGGCTATAGCTTTGTTAGCTTTTAGCCAATATGTTGTCCGGCCTCGTCGGTCTCGGACATAGCACAAATATTGATAAATTAGCCATTTCATCTCGTCGACACTCGGCCATGATGTAGATGTGTGTTTTAATCTGCATGCCTCGCCCTCCTGGCTAGCATTGTTTTTGTTGTCTTCAAGAATTTTGAGAATCACCCCCATCCATCTGATAGAATTTAGAGAGAGAAGAAATTGCTCTCGTACATGACATGCACGAGGCAATGTGTGATTCATCCGGCATGAATATAAATATGTATATATCATGGTTGGTCTGATGCCAATAAGACTTAAACTCATTCCAAGTTTATATAAATAAATATCCACATCCAATATTTGATATTGATAATTTAGACGGTCCAACCCTCACGAGGGTCAGGCTCGCCTTGTATTTATTTGCAGCTCATGTTAATTGCTTGACAAAGATGACGTGTGCATGTGCATGCGCCGTTGGGGATACTTATATCCATGGCTACAAGTTCACAACGTATCCATGACATATTCACCAGTACTCCACTTTACTGTTTTACCGTCCGGACTGCGTAACTGCACAACGCTACGGTGTATATTTGCTCCCTCTAGGAGACAATGTCGGGCTATGCATAATATCTGCACAGCACTACGGCGCCATTGTGTTGTCGATGACAAATAACTTGACGGAGAAATTATGTTGATGAAGCGCGGCTCGACAGAAGGCGAATGATTAATTTGGAGTTGCACCAGCGATGATGAAGCAGACTCCTTGACGATTACTTTGCCTTCTCCCGATTCCTCCCAAATATTTGTGTAGCTATAATGTTTATCATCACCAGCTCAGGGCCTGCATCTTGGCGCAGCGCTTGGCGGCGGCGTGTACATGTGTGCGCCCCGGTGACGGCTTGTAAATTGTGTAGATGTTGGATATGGGATTGTGGAACTATAAGCAGATCAGAGCACGCAGCAGAGTTGCCTGCCTACGTCTCCTCCTCTGTCAGCCGCCTCAGCACCAGAGATTTTCTCCCATCTCCTTCCCTTGTTTTATAATTTGGGGCTCGCTCCCGGCATGTGCACCGTAAAACATATGTTTTGATTATAAAAAAATACGAGGATAGTCCGATCCGTAGATTAGACATGCCCAAGTTTATGTTTCAAGAAAGCAGATGCGATTTGATTTTCATCGCACTTCAATTGTTGAGGAGAAAAGAGGTACTCCAATCATCCATTAGAACGACCGATTTAGCAACAGGATTGGAGGAAATTATTCATCGTACTCACCGCCTAGCACGATCATCTCCGCCTGCGACATCAGCTCGATGGGGGAATGTTTAATCTCCACTGCACGGCGCGCCTGCTTGCGAGCCGCCGGCAAGTCACCGAGAATTGAGTGGGTGCATGTGCCACCGGCCACCGGCGCAGGGCCTGCGTCCCTGCGCAGCGCATAGCGTCGGCGGCGCCGGCGTGGCGTGTATGTGCAGCGCCTTAGCGCTTCTGCATGGATGCATCTGCCAGCCCCCCGAGCAGTGGGAGTCAAGGTGCTTTATAGGCAGATGTAGGGATGGATAGATCAGGCTGGGACTCTCAACCACGTCCGAATACAACGGCAAATCACGCGTGAATTTCCTTGGATAAGACAGCAAACAGGCGTACTAATCCACCGATCTGCACGAGATAACTACTGCCGATTAAATCATCCTAGAATTAACAGTGCTAATGACAGTGGGCCTCCTGCGTTTAATCTCCAAATTAGAGATAATGACTGCATGCTCACGTACCAAAGCAAGTAACGATAGCACTTGCTTATTTCTTTTCTTTCCATGGCTCAAATCTTTTGAATTGTACATCGGATTTAAAATCTGTTTGAACCATTATTTTCTATTTAAATTATACAACAAACCGAGTCCAATATTTAATATATTTGAACGCCGCCTTGTATTTGATTTTCTTGGGCCCACGTGTCAAAGACACCCTTCACATATATTTTGGAAAATTGGGCGGCAAATTATATTCGAATATGAAATTAATGACCAATGATTTATCATTTTTTCTATAAATTTTGGTAAAAATATCCATCAAACAGTAGTCAAGCAGAGAAGGGCGAGCAGCAAACAAACATCTATCTGGTTTTATTTTCTGTGCTACAATTAATTTGCTTCTATGGCTATGTAAAATTAAGCAATATGATCATGTAAGAGCTTGCACTCTGGTTAGCCAGTTTGTCTTATGGTTCAGCTCTAAGTAAGAAGTAAGAACACTCTGATGTCTTGTGTGGGAGAGCGCTCGATCTTTTGTTGTGGCTATGTATCTGATATGCACTCGATCTCTTCTGTAAGAGCACTCTATATACTTATGATATCTATGCGCACTTAGTTTGGAACAAATGTTGATTTATATATATATAACTTGAGGACTATCTTGCCAGTTTTTTTTTTTCATAGAGATAATGGGATAAAGCATGCATGTGATGGAATACGAGGTGAAATGCACAGATCGAGCTGCAGACTACGTACAGCAAATGCTTTGGGATAGTTTGCAGGATGTGAAGTATAAACATGCATAAGCATAGATAGATCAAGCAGAAAACATGCAGATATTGTGATCACCATTCTCTCTCCCAGGTCCTGTGAGGACAGACCACCAGAGAGAACTCTGTTAAGTCAAAATGTACGTTTTGAAGTTGAGTAGGGCTAACATTTAGCACAACAGTTTGTACGTTTTGATGGATCCTATAATGTATTAACAATCGGTTATGGACAACCCTAAAAATAAATATACCCAAGTTAGAGATTTTACTATGTTAAACTAGAATGTTTGGAACTACAACTTGATGGCATGAGTTAAAGCAAAGTTCGTGCAGGTGTGCTGATTAATAATATGAATAGATTAAGATCGTGCTTTGAAGCTTTAAACCTTGCCTGTTTGAAAATTGCCTTTATGCAAAACCTCAACCTATTATATTACTCCTTGTACCACTTGCATTTTCCGATATGATTTATTGAGTACGATGGTTGAATTCATTTTTCTCAATATTTGTTCCTCCAGTCATATAAGCTTTTTAAAGAAGAAGTCTTAGATAGACTCCTGGCTTGTACGTATTAATACAAAAATTTAGTAATTAACCTCCAAAGTCATCATCGGTTAGAGTCAGTACCAGTATTAGAGTATTAGAGTTCTAGAGATTGGTTGATTGAAGGTCACCAGCAGTCATATTCTTAGTGGATTTGGTTAAGTAAATTAATCAATTAATAAAGAAAGCTTATCTGGAAGAGACCAAATTTAAGAAGGATATGGCATAGCAATTTATCTATTAATTAGGCAGAATCAATTAGTTTCTTTTTATTTTTAGAAAAGATTGTTTAGAGTCCAAATGAATAAGCTCGACAATTTTACGCTGCAGCGAGTTGTCCATTTGCTTTTCTGTTTTATGTTTCAACTCGATCGCTCCGAGCTAGACAATCACGAAATCGCAGCCCGTCCTTCGTGGTATTTAGTAACTTTCAGTAAACCTCCACGTGCCATTGTTTTTTAGCTGTGACGACAAGTTCAAGCCATACGTTATTACAAACTATTTGATATATGCATTGAAGATTACCAACAAGAATTAAGTAAGCAAAAGGAAAAGGAGAGTCGTCGTAATATATGTTGAAGGCGCGTCTCTTCTTCAGACCGTTTTCTCCAAACACATCTTTCAGAAATTAAGCTTAATTATATGCTAATGCACCCTCTATACATACATATCAAAAGATTTCGGAAACAATATTGCATAATAGATGTGAAATTGCAGAGGTTTATAATTTTATATTTTATGTAAAATGGGAACAAAATGATTCATTATCAATGTAATTGTAAATCCATATTCATAAATTTATAAAGCTATGAACCAGCTCTAAAATCTTGGATCAAAAGTTCTATAAAACAGGAACTAAGACATACTTTACCTCATACAAGCAACGAATTACAGACCGCCCTGCTTCTCTTCATTGCCCACGTCAACTGCAAGGCCAGACATCATAGACAGCGCTAACTACTAATACCGTGTCATACGTATAATTTGTAATAACTAGTGCCTCCTCAAAATGTATGACGCCATTAACTTTTCACATAATATTTGACCATTCGTTTTATTCAAGTCACGGTCATCCTATGAGCCAATAGAAGGGAGGAGCCCAAAGCTAGTGGTAGAGCGTTAGTGATAAGATACTTGGGCAAGTAGGCAACCATGGTTGTGCGAGTAAGAGGATTAAGGTGATTCAGTTGCAGTCCCGGTGATCAAGATGGAACAAGAAGCATATGTCCGTGTCCATCACCTACCGCTGGTCAACCTCCTATACTACATCTATCCAGTTTTTAATAGCTAACGATGTTGACTTATAAAAATAATATTTGGTTATTTGTCTTATTAAAAAGTTAGGACAAATATGTTAAAGTATAAAACACGTCTAAATGTTTTTTTTAATGATAAGACATGTCACAACAAAATAAACAACATTTACATAAGTTTTTAAATAGGACAAATGGTCAAACATCGTATCAAACATTAATTATGTCATGTATTAGAAAACGGAGGGAGTAGTATAGACACCCGAACAATCCGTAGTCCCTACTTACCTTCCTCCACCCTAACTCTGAACCCTAATTTGGGTCATTTGTTCGAGAAATTGATGGCTGCCATCACCGTCACCTGAGAAGAGAAGCTAGCCATCGCTAAATTAAGATGGTTCTCATGGTCAGTCACATGATGCTTGGCAAATTCCTATATTACCTCATACAACAAGAGTACAAGTAGCTTGATTCTCGAGGCGCCACATACACAAGAACGTACACCCAAAATCCATTATATTTTAGGACGGATAAATAAAGTAGGTAAAGAAGACAAGGCATTTCCACCTTCCTGGCAACACTGAACATTTATTAATACTACAATAAATAGTTACAATATAAACTGAAAAACAGATGCCTCCGATGGTAACATCTCATTAAGCTATATCAGATTATTATAGCTTGCAATACCCACGAGGAAAAACCCAGCACTAACACCAGTGGCGACGTCTAAAATCTTTTGTGTTCTCTCTCTGGATTTCTCTATCTCTTCCAAATCCAACCTTTTCTCCGACAAGAACATGGAGGGGGAAAAAGAGAATCAGTAGATTAATTTATGATTGTTACTACCTCTGTTTTAAATTATAAGACTTTTTAGCATTTCCCATATTCATATAAATGTTAATGAATCTAGACACATCTATATAAATGTGGACAATGTTAGAAAATCTTATAACCTGAAACAAAGGAAGTAGTGTATATAATAGTCAATTCGATGGAGTTAAATTGAATCATATGACGAAAAGAAAATTGCAAGATGTTTAGGAGGAGGTGTACCTCCTGAGGTTGTCCAACTCCTCCCGTTCTTGCTTCCACCGTTTGCTGTTTTCTTCGAACTTTTGAGCGAGCTGTTCTATTTCCCTATCGATATCCTTCTCGCTGTCTCTAAAACCAGCGTCAGAAATGCACTGCTGCTGCGTTGCCTTCCATTACCCTGCAAACAAATAGTGGCAAAATTAGAGGTGAGTATATTGCACCAATTTGAGCTAAGATATTAACAATTTGACAACGAAGCACTCTGTATGTATGCTTTCTTTTTGAAAGTAACTGAGGTCATGTTCACTTTGATGCCATTTTCAACCTTACCAAATTTTGGTAAAGTTGTCAAAAAAAATAGTTATATTTAGTTTGCTGCCAAGTTTTGGCATTGCTAAAATTTGGTAAGGTTTTTTTTTTTTTTGCATCAAAGTAAACAGACCCTGAACTATCGATTCACAGTAGCTGTTGAATATATGTTCCAATCCAAAACCTAACAAGATATCAAGAGCATTCATTGATAACCTAACAAGATATCAAGAGCATTCATTGATATAGCATTCATTGATGCATATCTCAATGTATATCTTAATGTAGTAATAACAGGACAAGACCTGTCACTGTAGGAATGTGGATGGAATCCCCAATCCCCAATCGTCGCTAGCTCACCACGCTGGTGAGGTACCAAATTCTACCCGGGAAAAGCGCATAGATCGATCTGATATTGTGCGACTTGACGCAGGTCGATTTTGGCAACGTATAATCGATCAATCTTAGCCGCATTCAAAACTACTAGTGGTAAACACTAAACAAGACGGATTCGTGAGCGGGAGGCGAACCTGGTGAAGTCGGGCTTGGAGAAGGCGAGAGCCGGCCGCCGGTCGCCGGAGAGCAGCTCCGGCGGCGGCGGTGGCGGCGGCGGCGGCGGCGGGGAGGATCCTCTTGTGCAGCAGGGAGCGATACGACATGGATGCCGCCGGATCTTCGGCTTGGCTTAGGGAGAATTCTCTTTTTTTTTCTAACACCCCCGGTTCTGTACTAGAAAGAGAAGAAGAGTTCATGTCGTGGGCGACCCGACGAATTTTTTTCGGTTTTAGATTTTTTTTAAATATTTACAGAAATAATCTATCGGCCAAAAAAATTACAAAAATAGACCCGGCCACCCACCTCTGGGGTGGCAAGCTGACGTGGCAAACGGGGGAGGTACGGGCGGTGACGGAGGGAGGGTTTTTTTGCAGAAAAACCCTTGCCGCTCTCTGGTGGGGCGGCAAGGGGCCCGAATGCAAAAAAGCCAGTCGGGGCAGGCCATTTTGCAGGCGGCCCCTTGCCGCCCTCTGGCAGGTCTCGCTGCCTATAAAAGGCCTGCCGCCCAGCCCCCAGCCCTCATTCCTCCCTCCTCAAATCCAGTGAAAAAAAAAAGAAGAGAGGGGAGGAGAAGAGAAGAAGGGGCGAAGCCCTGCTGGATTCAGACGCCGATTTCAGGTAATATTCATAAATCCTATATGTGACTATTGAGTTAAATAGTGTGTATTTTTTAAAAATTTGTTTGAATAAATGCATTATATTTTTAGGGTTTTAGTTGTACTAATCTAGAAGTGCGTATTGTAGATATCGGTAACTACGTAGATCTGCTAGTTTGGAATCAATACATTACCGTTGCATTGGCTTACACAAGAAGATATTACGTTGTAGATGTTTATTGCATGAAAGAGTAATATGATCTAGTTATTTTGTTGACAGATATGTCGAACAAACAAATATTCCAAGTTTACCATGGACCAGGAAACGTCCATTACGGGCCAACTGGGGTAGATCTGTCAGATTTTATTGTATCAGAAAGGGGAATTGATAGACCGGCTGAGAGGAGTGTACCTTCTATAAAAGGATGGTTAATGAGGGGCTTGAGAATTGATCCACAGACAAGCGACATAACAATCAATGTTATAGTAAGTCGGACAACCGAGGGTTTTTATTGGGAACTAATGCCAGTTCAAAACTCTCGAGTGTGGAGATGGTATTTGGAAAATGCATTGCAACGCGGGTGGCCTCTAGCTTTGGTTCCGTTTGTTCACCCGAAGGATCCAAGTGTGCAGATGAACATGGATGATGGCGAGGGACCAAGTGCTGAAGTAAATGAGAATTCTGTGGAGGAGGTCAACGCACGAGAGGACGGGGGCGTAGTAGCTCCAGTGGGCATTCAACCAGGTGGAGTGGCCGACGAGGGGGAGACTGTCGGTGCCATTGTGGATGAAATGGAGAGGGAGGATTCTGACAACGAGCGTGTAGAGGAAGGTGATTCGTCAGATGATGAGACGGATATTAATCCAGCAGAATGGGCTAGTGAGGATTTTTCTGGGCTAATCGTCTCTGAAGAGGATAGTGTGAGATGGGAGTACAAAGAAAATGAGGTTATTCAGGGAGCGATTTATAGTAGAGCAGAAGATATGAAGGAGGCGGTAAAATATTTTGCAGTGTCACTTCATAGAGAGTTTTGGGTTGCCAAGTCGAACCGGTCGCAATATGAAGTTCGGTGTGTTAAGGAAAAAGATGGTTGTCCCTGGAGAGTGCACGCGTATAAGGGGAAATGGAAGGATTATTGGACAGTGTCAGTCGTTACCAAGCATACATGTTTTCTACCTGGTGTTCAGAAATACCACAGGAACATTACATGTGCATTTGTTGCATCTGAGATGTATGTGCATGTCATCGATAATCTCACATATGAACCAAGGTCAATAATCCGACACATCAAAGAGACATACAAGTATACTATTAGCTATGCCAAGGCCTGGTGGGCCAAACAGAAAATAATAGATATGAGATTTGGAACTTACGAAGCCTCGTATGACAATTTGCTACGCCTGCTTGGTGTTATCGAGGAAAGAAACCCTGGGAGCTCTTACGAAGTGAAGAAATTCCCCTCAATTGAACATCCTGGCAAGAGTGTGCTGCAAAGGGCGTTCTTAGCTCTACATGCATGCAAGATGGCATTCATGAAATGTCGTCCTGTTCTCTGCATTGATGGGACATTCTTGACAGGAAAGTATCGGGGCCAGATACTAACAGCAATAGGGGTAGATGGGAACAATCAGGTATTGCCCTTGGCATTTGCTTTTGTTGAGAGTGAGAATACCGACAGCTGGTACTGGTTCCTGAAATTGGTTAAAACAAAAGTTGTTGGTATGAGGCCAAATGTGTGCCTGATACATGATAGGCACGCTGGCATTCTGCGAGCGATAGAAGAGTTGCAGTTTGGGAGTATGGAACGAGGATACCATGGTGTTTGGGAAGATGTACAGAGTAGGTGGTGCATGTGTCATATGGGAGCTAATTTCTTCAAGCAATTCAAGAACAAGGAGCTCATGAACATGTTCAAGAGGCTGTGCAATCAGAACCAGGAGAAAAAATTTAATGAGCTTTGGAAGAGATTAGATGAGTTGACAGCCAAATGTAGTGATCAGCGTGCAGCGGCTCCATCGACCGCCGTTGCTGACCCTCCTCAAGCTCTTGGACCTCTCCCAACGGATAGTCCAACATTGGTTAGAAGAACTGGATTGGAGATTCGGAAATTTTCTCAGTGGATTCTGCATGAACCAAAAGAGAAATGGGCCAAGGCGTATGACACAGGTGGTGCTAGATATGGAATAATGATAACAAATTTGGCAGAAGTTTACAACTGGGTGATGCGCGGTGTCCGTGGACTGCCACTAGTTGGCATAGTGGAGTTCATTTTACATGGGACATGCAGGTATTTTAGGGATCAGTTCCAGGCAGTTCTTCCCTCTATGCCGAACAACAGCATTTTGTTTGGAACTTTCATGCAGAAAAAGCTAGAGGAGTTGCGTAAAAAGGCCATGAAACATCGAGCTCTAGTGCAAAGTACCCAACAGCACAGGTTTGAGATACTATGTCAAGATAAGGCAGGCAGGGGTATCTACCGCAAGAGAGTGAAGCAGGAGTGTGTTCTCAAAGCCGACGGCATATGTCATTGCTCTTGTGCAAAGCCGAAGCTGCTCCACAGGCCATGCACCCATGTCATTGCTGCCGCAGCGGAGTGTGGCATACCAGATGCAGTATATGTGTTACAGTACTTCAGTAAGCAAGCAATATATCATACATGGAGCGGCGAGATTTATGGGTTCGGCATAGCTGGGGAGTTCACAGAGACTAACGATGAAGTACTCAATATTCCTGACCCATCGAAGCTCCGAGGCAAGGCTAGAAGGAGGAGGACTCGTCGCATCCGCAACGATATGGACGAGTCGGAGGCTGGCAGGGTGAAGCGTTGTAGCAAATACGATGAACATGGGCACACCTACAAGCATTGTCCTAAAGACAAGGAGAAACCAAGTGCGGCGGAGGCAGGACTATCAGGATCAGCAGCAGATAGAGCTCGCCCTACGGGTGAAGGCACTACCTCCACTCGACCACGTCCTAGGCATCGTCGTGCCACGTCTGGCTACGTGGTGTAGTTCTTATGTTCTATGTTGGCATGTGGTTTTGCTTGTAATTCGTTTCGAACTTATCGATGTGTTTATGTTTCGTCGTGTAATGTCAGACTTCGGCATGTCATGTCTTTAGGTCTCGTGATGTAACGTCAAACTAAGGCGCCTAACGTCTTTAGGTATGCTGATGTATGTCGGACTTCGACACGTAATGTTATGTTATATTATCGAACTCTACATATATGTTAAATTGCACGTCATCGTTATGTACCATTAGTAACGTTTGCTATATTTAAATAGCATGTACTCTTGTTGTACATAATTATTCTCATGATTTTATTACTATTTCATAATTTTGCAAGTTATCTTTTGTTTTACATTACTACTTTTTGAATTGTTCTAACACGAAACACTATATTTTTCAGAGATGGCACGTCAGGATACACCTCAGTTGTTGGACCCGGCGATAGATCACCGACACCGGTCTCACCTTACTGCGGTGCAGGGGGCTCAGCTTGGGACGTTCCGAGCACGGACGTGCGGTGAGTTACTCACGGTTCACGACTCCTTTGTCGAGAGGTACGAACAGTGTATTACTATAAATTAGTTGCACTGTAATATTTTTTATAATGACATATTAATTTGTTATTGCAGGTTGCGTGAGGCCGGCCTCCTACCGATGTGTCGGCTGGTGGAGGCTACCGCCGGCGACGCGGACCCGGCCAGACGATGGACTGTGGACAGGTCCCTCCTTGCAGCTTTGGTCGACCGATGGAGGCCAGAGACGCACACTTTTCACTTGTCGTGCGGTGAGGTAGCCCCTACCCTACAGGACGTATCGTACTTGTTGGGGCTACCGCTCGCGGGAGACGCTGTTGGGCCAGTGACCACGGCTGTGGACTGGCAGGATGATCTGACGGCACATTTCGCACTAGTACAGCGCACACTGCACCTCCCGCTCGAGCCGTTGGCTCACCACCGCAACACTGGACCTACGAAGAGGTGGCTGCTTCAGTTCACCGTGAGTGTTTTTGTACTGAAATGACAAGCGTGTTACATATTTAGTCCACAGTTAAGGTGCCTAACATTTTATCGAAGGCTTGCAGGTCGAGCAGCTACAGGCGGAGGCCGACGAGTACTCCTACAGCCGCTGTTTGGAGGCGTACTTGCTCTAGCTTTTTGGCTGGGTGATGTTCTGTGGCGGTCACGGGCACGCGGTCGACAAGGGACTCGTGCACTACGCCAGGAGCATCGCCGATGCCGCGGTAGGCGAGGTGCCTCAGTGGAGCTGGGGTTCCGCGTTGTTGGCGGCTCTGTACCGTGCACTTTGTGAGGCTTGCACGAAGACGGATCCCAGTGCGACCTTTGGTGGGTGCCCTCTCTTTCTTTCTATCTGGGCAACTGAGAGGATTGCGATCGGCCGCCCTGAGGTGGACCAGCACGTGTACGAGGAGTCACTGTACGAGGAGCGACCAGAGGTCGACTACCCTACGATAGGTACTCTGTGGTGCCGTCGTCGGACCGCTTGCTGCCTTCCACCTTGCTCTTCGACTTCGCTTCAGGCTCGACAGAGGACGTCATCGGCCCCTCACAGCTGGGAGACGCACCGCTAGTGCAGACGCAAGACCAGGCGCAGGCCACTCCTCCGCCAGACACTCGTGCTACCCGTGCTGTGCCACCGGATCGTTTCACCTACTTCCAGGACCACGTGCGAGCACAGGCCCGGAGGACCAAGCGTGGTCGCGGCGCAGGGCAGGGCCAGTAGAGCAGTCTTCTCTTTGTTTATTTGCTTCACTTTCCAGTACTGTATGCTTGTGTAATGACTACGTTGTTGTTATATGTGCACGATACCTTTCGGCGCATGCACGACTACTTTCTGCCGCACCGATGCAGCCTCCTTTATTCGCGTGCGATACGAGTATTTGCCCACCATTTGGCGCATACGACCAATGTAACTTTCGGCGCCGATCAGGCATGTAACTTTCGGCGCTAATCAGGCGTACCCACCATACCCCACCACGTTCACATGTCAGGGGTATCACTCGATTTTTTGCGCCTATATAAGTCGCCTTAACGAGTGAGGCCTCACAATCTTTCAGAACTCAGTCACATTCAGTACTCTCTTCCCCACTTGCTTCATTACAAATCCTACCGGCTTTCGTCAATGGCTAGACGCCGGGGTGTTGAGGATCCAAACTGGCGTAGCGATCCTTGTGTATACCTACTACCACCTTGGTGCCAGCGTCCTCTCTGCCTATGCGGTGATCGATGCCAACTAATGGCTTCAAGGAATCTTGATATTCGAGGAAGGCACTTTTTTAGGTGCCCTAACTATGACCGTGAGATATTTTATTATCTGCATATGCTTATTCATTATGTATGGGCAATCGCTTTATTCTTCGTAACACTACTCTATTCGGCAGACCCGCACTACGGCTTGCGCATACATCGAGTGGGTCGATACAAAAAATCTCGTTCTCGACCTAACCACTTGTTTACAAGAAGGTCGCTGGTATTTCGCATCCGAAAGTACTGAGCAATACTTACAGAGAAAAGCGGCTTTATGAACGACAATGTCGTGAACAACAGAGCGACTGGCGGGTGCTAACTACGGCACTCCCTCCATGGAAAGCCCGTCCAAGATGCAGGTGTGGTGATCGTTGTCAGGTTCTTCGTTCCATAAATCCTACAACATTGGGTCGAAGGTTCCAAATATTCTTGACGACGATTTCATGGTAAGAATATTTTGATTACATGAATCCTTATTTTCTCACAACATTTACTAACTTTGCTTGCTTTATATCTATTCTTTCCTCCCAGGAACCACCAAGGAGATGTCAATACAGAGAATGGATAGACACCAGAAGGGTTCTAACTCCACCTAGCCGTGTTGTGCAGCTTGAACTACTAGAGCAATACAGGGTTACTAAAGCGCGGTTTGAGAGAGGAGAGGGATCCTCACGTAGGGGTTAGCTATTATCGGACAACTTGGCATATTGAAATTTCTACTGTCATGCTTCCTTTTCCCATTACTACATCGTCGTTGTGTTCAACTATTGCACTACCTCCCTCCTAGTTCGAATCTAATATCATCTATGTAACCGCAATGCAAATAGTTATATCATGTTCAAATTATACTACTATTTCTTCATGTTACATAATTCTCCTCGTTTAAGTCCATATAATGTTTCTACGACCCAGACTGCGATAGGCCTATATAAATTATCCGAGTACTAATACGTCGAATAAGGTACAAAATAATAGCTCACTTAACATATGAAATTGCGCAACAACCAACTTCAATACATTTTTATAACAATATTAACAAGTTTTACCAATAAATACTTCTTTATTTATTATTAACATAACATAGAAAAATCTTTTGACCGTACTTTTTACATCTGGGTCCCTTGCCGCCCCGACCCAGATGCAAAAAGTACGGCCGCAAGCTCTTTATGGGCGGCCAAAATTGCAATTAGCCCTATAGGCGGCAAGGGCCTAATCGCAATTTTGGCCGATGGCGGCAGACGGCGCGGTCAACCCACCATCTGCCACATCAGCTTGCCGCCCACCATTGGGGCGGCAGGGTCTATTTTTGTAAATTTTTTTTGTCGATAGATTATTTCTGTAAATATTAAAAAAAATCTAAAAACGAAAAAATTCGCGACCCGACCAGATATTGGGCCGACTCTAGCCCGCTACGGATATTCTCTGATGGGCCGTAATCTCGCATATGCTTAATGGGCCGTAAGTTCGTAAATTTGTGGGACCACTCACGGCGATCAAAACCTCCTCCGCCGCTCCGTCGCTTCAGTTCCGCCGGCGGCGAAACTCCCGATAAGCGAAGGTTCGCCGGCGGCGGCGCCATCGGTGGTGACGTCGAGGCGTCCCCGGCGGCACCGACCTCTTCGGCCTCCCCTTCGTTATGGCGGATCAGGAGGGGGAAGAAGCTAGGCGAGTGTGGGAGCGGAGAGGGGGATGAGCCAGCCCTAGGGTTTCGCTGCGAGGGCAAGCCGCCAATTACGCCCGCGGCGGGAACGCGAGGATCCCGAGTTGATCCTCGTCCTGATCTCCCTCGTCATCATCTTCTTCGTAGTGAGGCCTCCTCGAATCTCTCTCACCACACCATGATTGCCTGCTTAATGCTTATCAATGTCTCTCTCGCATTTGGTAATGATTTATTTTTTTTTCGGGGGGCTCGGTTTTGGTTTGATTTCTTCGTCTTCGTGGCCGGTAATTTCGTCCGCAACGAGCTCCATCCACCAGCGATCTTGCTGCAGCTGTGATTTGGGGCCATTTTGTCGACCTTGTCTCTGGTAGTTTATCCAGTGTCCTCGTCTGCATTTAACCGCAGAATTTACTAGTAGTAAATTGGTTGTTCATCACCTTTGACAACTCATGTATAGTTGCACTTAATAACAATTGTTAACAAATGCAATTATGTTTTTGTCAGCAAAACCACATTGCTAATTTTTACTAGCTGCTAGGATGGTTAGTACATAACTCTACTTCCTTTTACGTGTTCGCAAAAAAAATAACTCTACTCTGTACTCCTAGTGTTGAACCTGTAATTTATCATTATTATCAAATGCGCCCTTTTTTTTATGTTTACTACGCTATTGTCTTCTTTTGCAGTGCAATTATTAATATATAGTTCATGGCTCATTTAGGAGAAAGTTTCAGTGACTGTTATAGCTAAGCTTTAATGCCATTTTGCTGGGCCCAGAATTGTATAAACACATCAAAATTGCCGCCGATGATGTTGAGACAAAGCAAATTGTGTTTCAAGACACCCAAGATAAAATGCCATCAAATATAATATCTGTTGTGCAATGCGGAGGATCCATACATCTTCTGTGGTCTCAAGAAGCTAAATTTTCTATTAAGCCAAACATCACAAGTAAGCCCTAAATCCTTTCCTTGTGGCAAATCTGCGGAAAAATTATTATGTACATAGGACTTTTGTGACACTCCTATAACCGCAGGACAACCAAACACTGACTATAAAACGACTCAGCTTCATTTTGGTGACCTTGGTAGATGAGATACAGAAACCCAATTATCATATTAAATTTGATCAAGGTATGTTTATGTAATATGCTCTTTAATATGCCCTGTATGATTTAGTAGTCACAGGTTTTGCATAAATCAACTAGTTTACTAGCTTGGTAATCCTTTCCTTGTGGCTATTCATCCACAAACAGATTTTGTGGATTAATTCTTATTCAGGTTATTGAAAAGAAGCCTCGTTCGACTTTATCTAGTGTACAATTTATAAAAGCAATTGACCACATAAACAAGGGGTTATCAAAGGATAACCAGTTAATGTTCATTCATCTGGACATTACTTTCTGTGCATCCCCTCATCCTAATTTTCCGTTTACTATGTTTTTGTCAGTGCAGGAACTTTATATCCTTTTGCGTAAAAAAATTGTCTAGCATGTCATGGGTGGTTCTCAGGGAACCACTTTTAGCTTGATAACCAATTTTAGTCGGACCCAACTTGTTCTTTTTCGTGAGTTCCATGCAATCAGGATATTCTTTTTGAAATCATCCTGGGAGCAACTTTTAGCTAGTGCACAATGTAGTGAACGGTTTTACAAGACAATGCATGTATATATTTTTACATTAACCTGGAACCAATTTGTATGTTACTAAGCAATTTTTTCTTATGTTGAATTCTTTGATGTTTGCTGAAAGATACACAGTTTGTGCATATTGAGGATTCCAGGTGATCATAGTGTTCATGAACTGCATATCAACTTCTTTTCTCAACTTATTCAGAATTTTATCCACAAACTGTTTTAAATTGTTTTGAATCTCCTGTGGAGAACACTTTTTTGCCACTAAACTCATTTACACTGCTGGCAGTAGTTACGAGTTTATAACAGTATATTTTATTTAATATGATGATATTATCTAAAAAATAACATGGTAAGTTTTGAATAAAATTCAGTAAGGACTGTAAGGATCAATTCATTAAATGTTCAATGGTTTCACCGAGTTCAGTTATGTCATGCATAGGGAGCAGAAAAAGGGGCTCAATTCATTGATTATCCTAGTTGCTTGGGAAATTCGGAAACACCATAATGACAGTGTTTCCAACGGAGCGGATCCAAGCGTCATGGAGGTGTCGAGGGCAGTGTCAACAGAAGCTAGGTTTCGGTTCCTGGCTAGAGCTCTTGCGCTCCAAGATTTCCTTTGTAGGTCACTAACCCAAGGGCACTAGGCTGGTTTTTGGTCTTTGTACGGTGGTTTTTGGTCGTGTATCGCCTTGTGTGATGCTAGTTGTGGATGTGTTCTGGGTGAAGGGCTCATGAGCCCTTGGTTGTATGGGTGGTTTGTTTTCCTTCTTAATGAAATGAAGTGCAGCTCTCCTGCGTTTTCTAAAAAAATTTAAAAAACTTGTGAGGATTGTGGTATTACTCCAATTCTGATATCATCTAACATGAAATATTTCAGTTGCTAGCTTTTCCAGTTTTAAGCACTTTCTTTGTATGTAATCAGGAACAATCTTCAGAAACATAATATGTACTAAAAATGATTCAGAACTTAAGTGTTGTTCTATTGATCAAGCCAAATCATTTTTACATATTCATTACAAAATAATTGTAAAGCTTGAAGGAAAACATACCATCTCTCTGTTTTCCTGATTGCCTGGTCACAACACAGGCATAGAGATTTTGATCAGCATGTCAATACATAGGGAAAATGAGATTGGAAAAATAACAGTATTTACATGTCATTTTGCAATCCTTTACTAGACGAGTTTTAGTCAATAGGCTTTTTTTGCAGATGAAGTTTTATTTCTCTCATAAACATGACAATATATAAGAATATTTTTATATACATGTCTTGTTGATGCACATTTATATTTTGTGCCTTTTCGCTTTATGGCTTTGTGTAGTATGATAGCTTAGAAAATTATAACATGGACAGACCAACAAGGGAAAGGGATGCTTAAATACCTTTTCGAGCAAACTGAAACAAGGGAGAAAGCCACATGGAAGGTATTTTCTTCTTTGGATGAACATGCTAGCTACATTCCTAATTTCCATTAAGAAGTGAATGGTAACCATTTGTTACAACACTACCGTTCTTTTTTTCTGTTACAACACATCTGCTTTCCATTGTACAAGGCTTGTTGTTCCCTTCCCATCTGCATAGCCTTGATGAACTACAAGATATCACACATGAATCTCGAAAGGCCATTCAATTCGTTCAACATTTATTTTTCTTTTCCTTTAAGAAACTTTTGATGCTACACATATTTTTTTTTCATTTACTGAACATTGTTGATTTATGGTGCATCATAAAAATGGCAACAGCACTTGCACTGGGTTTGTCAGGGGTAATGTAAAAAACTTTTATGGGACTACAATCACCATAAATTATAATGTATACTGATATGATGCAGCATTGTCAAGGCGCTCTACAAGCATTTTAACGTTGGAAGTAAGGTTTTTATTCGACAGTTCCTTTGGACTGAAGTAGATTTCGGCTTCACAATGTTTTCAGCGCGTTGCAACTTAAAATCATTAATTTCAGGTTCTTTATGATTTTACAATGTCACATGGAAGCTCTGGTTTTCCATGATGGTTCATGCAATGAGTTAGAAAAGTGAAATGACAAGGGAAGATACGGTTGGTAAATAACTAAATATGTGCTTTGTAGCACATATTTCAGTCCCACAAATGATGGATAGTTTCATTCATTTATTTTGTACAGATCACTGTCTAATATGCATGTGTAATGTTTCATGCTCCCACATGTCCTCTTCTTCCATGTTTTTCCAATATAATGAAATATAAGAGTAAGGATTGCTAGGCATTCTAGATGGCAATACATCCTTGGATGCTTGAACTCCACTCTGATGCATGCATAAATTATAGGGATGGTTCCACTACCACTTGCTTTTGTTTCTTTGTATAACACTTTATAGCCCGTGCCTAATAGTAAGAATTTAAAGGAACCTGAATTTATAACTGAAGAAATGACACCGGGAGCATGCTTTCAAAAATTATTTTAAGGATTAAAAATTCATTTTATTACCACCAATCATATAACCATGCTAACAGAAATTTGGAATATATTAAATATCTGGATTTTGAAGATTTTGGGTATTACATTAGTATAGATTAGTTAGATTATTCATTCTTGTGGTTAGTGTTACTGTAGATAAGGGGCTATGAACTCTTGAACAATGACCATTAATGTTTGGTGGTATTTACTGCTACTGTAGATGTGTTAGCCAATGACTTGTACTCTCCTGGTTCATGAAATCACATGAATGGAACGTGAGTATCTATATCCTTTTTTAAGTGTATCTTATTTTCTAATTTCATGCTTGGGGTTTTTTCTAGCAACTCATTCAAAAGAAAATGTTTGGTTCGATTCATGTTGCCCATGATGTGCATTGAACATGCTTGTTTACTAGTTAGAGACAAGGAGAACTTCTAGTGATTAAAGGAACTACAAAGGAGAAACAAATAACTCTACATTGACTAGTATGAATTTGTAGTGCTACTTTGATTTTGAAACAAATATCCATATAACAAGAGAAACAAAATGAATGTGGCTTGGGAGATATGGAAGTATAGGAATGAGTGTGTTTGATGGGGCTAGTTCTATTGTTATGATTGTCATTCACACGGTCTTTGGTGTAGGCTGGGGCTTCTAAGCTCGGCGAGTTCCTTAGAAAGTTGCTTACCCCGGCTGGGTAAGGTCAGGGCGAGTGAGTTGTGTTTGTATAGCAATCTGTTGTTGTTTGGAGTGTAAGGTGTTTTAGCCACTCCCTCGTCGTTTCTTCTTAATGAAATGATACGCATACTCATACGTATTAAGAAAACAAGAGAAGCAAAATAGGACAGCAATGATGCTTCTTGCACTACTCTAATGCCCAATTTCTGTTGCAAAATTGGCAGATTCTGAAGGCCAAATGATTTATCGTTTATGTTAAGCAGAAAATATATAATTGAATCCTTTGAGTTATCCTGTTGCCGCCATTCACAAACTTGGCATCCTTCTTGCAGTTATGGTGGCTGGCATTGAGATGAGACATCAGAGGCGCTGGCAAAGCTGGATAGGATTATTCAAAGCTCTATATATTGAGAAGATTGGCAAAGCTGAAGTCGTGAGCGCGTGAGGGTTAAACCTTATAAAGGTTATTGTCTTCAATTTGTGGCAAGGTGTAGAGTGCACTAGTTGGGGTTATGTTGGGTGTGATCTGAAGGATCAAGGATAGAAAAGGGTTTCAATTGTCTGCTGTGAGCCCTGTTTTGTTGTGCTGCACATCCATCCTGTAAACTGGAGTACTATGCTTTCAATACAGAGCAGGCATTTTTATTCCTTCTCGCAAAAAGGAAAAATGCATATGCAAATTATATATATTGCAGGTTTCTTCTTTTTCACTGATAAGTTTTGATTCAATATACCACAAAATCTGGCTCATTTTCTTGACATGAATGTATATGTATTCCTCTACATTATTACTACAATAATAACCTAATCAGTCCAACTAAGTATAATAAACAGGCTAATACTACGTGTTTGCTGTAACAGCGCGAAAGACGGGAAGGAGGCAGGCGAGGCGATCATCTGGACCGTCCGTTGCAGATTGGACGGCATCCATTGGAGGTGATGAATTGAAAAAATGGAATCTCTCGCCTTACACGCGTCACCCACACATTGGCCGCCCGCTGCTTTTCCGTCCTCGAAAGCTGTGCAGCAGCAGCAGCAGCAGCAGCCGAGCGAGACGAGGGAGCGAGAAGGCGAGCACCGCGTGGTGGTGGTGGTGGTGGATTCGATTCGATTCATCCCCCGAAACCCTAGCCGCCGCCGCCGCCGCCACTTCAATTCGCCTCCGGTCGCCGACTCGCCGTACCGTACAATACAAGCATGTCTCCGCCGTTGCTGCTCCTCCGGGCGCTCACCCTCGCCGGCCGCAAGGCCAAGGCGGCGTGCCTGCCTCGCCCCCGCGCCCTCGTCATGCTCGCCGCCGGCGCGCACGGCGCGACCCGGGCCACCACCACCGTCCCGCTGCCGTGCCTTCCTCTCAGGGCGCTCTCCAGCCGCGCCGGTGAAGTGGACCCCCGCCCCCGCCCCCGCCCCGAGGAGATCATCATCGGTGGCGGCGCGGACATGGTGTCGCCTACCGCCGCTGCCTCCGGTGGCGGAGAAGCCATGGTCGGAGTCGGGATGTCTGCTCCTTGGCTGATCGGCGCCGCCGGTGCGAGCGCGAGCGCGAGCGCGACCATCAAGTTGGGGTCGGATCCGGTGGCTCCGGCGACCGCCACCGAAGACTCTGCTCTCCTCCGCGCTCGTCACCTCTTGAGCAAGGCAGAGCAACACCACCTCGCCGCGGCGCTCGTCTGCCTCGTCAAGAACCTGCCGCTGCCGGCGATCCAAGACCCTGAATTCGTTGTGCTCGAGGCCGACGACAGCATGGTGGAGCTCATCCGCGACCTGATCGTCGCCGGCGGTGGCCATCCTGAGCATGGCGAAACGACCGGAGGCTTCGTCTCCCTGGCGCCCTGCGTGTTCGACGATGCGCGTGACAAGAAGACACTGCCGCCGTCATCGGGCATCACCAATGTCAGCTCTCTCGCCACTGCCAACGGCATCAAGATCATGATCCCGGTGCAGTCTGCTTCTAAAGGGAGTCGACGTCGTCTGTCCTCGATGCAGACCACTCGATGCCTCTCAAGTACTCCCAATGTCAGCATCCCTGATGATACCAGCACCAGCAGTGCCAATGGCGACAAGAGGAGAGCAAACAGGATCAGACTCGTTGATGTCAGTGTGAGAGTCACCGAGTTGGAGCAGCTTGTGAGGAGCCTTGAGAAGAGACTGGAGGATGTGGAAGCGAAATGGGACGCCAACCTGCGCATTGCTGAGTTGCGCGCGGACATCGCTGAGAAGCGCGCTGATCAGCTTGAGAAATTGCTGGAGAAGACAGTGGAGGGTATGGAGAGAATGGTGAATAACAAGATGGAGCAGACGATTACTTGGGTACTGCAAAAGAACTTCCAGCAGGAAGAGTTGGCTCACTCTCGCCACAGCTCCTTGCTCCTACACTGCACTCAGCTTGCTCAAGAAATGGCTGCAACTAAAGATGAACTCCACTCAGTGAGGAGAAACTACAGGTATGTATAAATACGATTAATATATCGCGATTCAGCTTTGTCGTTAAATTGGATTCTGACAAATGGTTACTTCATATGTTGTGTGATTGTTGCAAGGGATTCAGCTCTGTTTATTAATCTGACAAATGGTTTGCCTCATGTTGTGTGTCCCTTGCAACTTGCAAGGGACTCAACTGTGTTGTTGAATTAGATTCTGACAAATGACTGTTTCTGTTGTGTGTTTAATTTGTTGCAAGGGATCAGCTGTGTTATTAAACTGACAACTGATTGTTTCATGTTGTGTGTTTGTTGCAATGGACTCACTCAACTGTGTTGTTGAATTAGATTCTGACAAATAAATGATTTGCTTGCTGTTGTGTGTTTGTTGCAAGGGATTCAGCTGTGTTGTTAAACTGACAACTGATCGTTTCATGTTGTGTGTTTGTTGCAATGGACTCACTCAACCGTGTTGTTGAATTAGATTCTGACAAATACTAAATGATTTGCTTTCTGTTGTGTGTTTGTTGCAAGGGATGATATCCTGACCTCCAAATTCACCGTGTCAATCACTGCGTGGCGCATCGTGCTGGTGCTACTGGGGGGCTTCGGTGGAGTCACGGCGTTCTACGTGCCTTACGTCATCAAAGATATCAAGCTGGAGACATGCGAAGAAGTAGCCAAGAGGATTTCAGAGATGCTGCAGGGTATCGCGGATGCAATTAAAGAGCTAAGAGAGGAGGTGAAGGCTAATAAGGTTCCTTGGTGGAGGAGACTTTTCAAGAAATGAAACAAGGATCTGCACTGCCAGATGGAGTTTTCTGAACAAGTGACTGGAGTGTTGTGATGAGTTTGAACAAGTAACAGAGTTGTGATGATTTTGAACAAAGTGACAGAGTAATTGTGATTATTTTGAACAAAGTGATAGAGTAGTTGTGATGATTTTGAACAAAGTGACAGAGTAGTTGTGAACTTGTGATAAATTGTCTTCAGTTTCAATCTTATTCTGTTGTTTTCCGTTGTCTTGTTTCAATCTTATTATGTTGCTCCCGTACGGCGGCGCAAGCTAGCGCAGCCGGCCGAAGTCGTACTCCGGCGACCAGCGCGGCGGCGGCGGCTGCGGCCGACGAGACCATCAGCCCAAGACGTGATCCACTGCCACGCATTTAATTAATTACAGGAGCAAGCAGAACAAGGTGAAAATTAAATGATCGGTCGAGATTATTATTTAATTAACATGATGCAGTACGATTGTATGATAGTATGATCGACGTCCATCGCCGGAGGTGCACGAACAACACCGCAATACGCCCGGCGGTCGGCCGGTCAGCCACCGCGACACCGCTCGCCGTGGCTGACTTACGGCTGTTTCTTGCTCACATGGCAGTCCAGTCCGCCGCCGCCGCCGCCGCTCGCCGCCGGCGGAACATGCTGCTTCCTCCGGCCGTGTTCCTTGATCAGCTCACGCGCGAACCGCTCCACCTTCTCGGCGTTGGTCTCGCCGGCGAGCCTCCTCCCCTGGAACATCACCGCCTCCACGTTCCTCTGCTGCAGCATCGCCTCCGCCACCCACACCGCCTTCTCCGCCGTCTCGCCGCCGCACGCCACGCCGCCGCCGCGCCGCCGCGCCACCCCCATACCCTGCACGAACAATTTCAATCCATCCACCCAAATCAATCAAATTCTGATCGATTGTACTGCAAAAATCTCAGAGGTTTTGACTGTAGCCTTTTACCTGGATGCGGACGTAATTGCTTGTCCTGTGTTGTCCGAACGCCATGGCGACAGCTTGATCTACCTAATGGGATCGGATTGGATTGGATGGATTTCAGCATTTGCATTTGCATTTGCATGCCAGATCAGATCTCAGTCTCATGTCGAGTACTCCGAGCAAGACGAGACGAGATGCATGCGTACAAAAATTGTACTAGCAAATTAATTATGCGGCGTACTCTGTTTGCTTCAACTCTACGTGTGCGTGTAAAACAAGAGTGAACAGTGGCGTCCGTGTCGTGTGGTGTATTGATCGGGGGGCACGTACCATGTCCGACGCGCCCTCGGCGGCGATCCGCGCGATCACCGGCGTCCTCGCGCGGTGGCGGCTGCTGCTGCCGGCGGCCTCGCCGGTGCCGATGGAGATGACGAGCAGGTTGTCGACGCCGGCCGCGGCGGGGAACTCGCGCCGGTTGTTGAGAACGTGGGTGATCGCCGCGGCCGTCGGGTTCCCCAGCGCGACGCCGCTGCCGACCGCCGTGATCCGGGTGACGCCGTCCACCGAGGAGGCCTCCACGGCGGCGCCGCCGCCCGAGGGGGCGCACGTCGCGGCGCAGGCGTCTCGGAGGCGGAAGTCGTACGCCGGCGACTGCGCGGCGTCGGCGCGGGAGAAGAGGAACGGCGCCCGCGTCGCGAGGTCGTAGCACGGGACGAGCACCGGGCGCACCGTGTCCCGCAGCGTCAGCTCGCCGAACACCTGGTTCACCAGCCATGGCGCGAGCTTAGACGCATACCGAGTAGTACAAAAAGTAGACGAGCACGCGAACGCCAACCTTGTGGAAGGCGCCGGCGGGGCGGCGGAGCAGGCCGCCGGCGCGGGACGACCACCCGCGGCGGCGGACGCGGCGGAGCAGGAAGCCGAGCGCGTCATCAGCGGAGTACATCGGCCGCCCACACGGGCCGCGCGCGAACAGCATGGCGGCGAGGACGCCCCCGGCGCCGGAGCCAGCGGCGACATCGAAGAAATCCGCGAGCCGCGCGGCCTTGCTGCCGGCGCGCCGCTGCACCGCGGCCTCGAGCCGCACCAACGCCGCCGCGGCGAGGAGCCCGTCCTCCGGGCGCGCGCCGCCGTCGACGGAGAGCACGCACACCCTGTTCCCTCTCGACACCGGCGGCGCGCACTGCAAGCTCTTCGTCTCGCCGCCGCCGCCGCCGCCATAGCCGAAGAGGAACTTGCTCTCGAGGATGGAGAAGATCTCGTAGGTGAGCCTGTCCGCCGCGTCATCCTGGCCGGCCTCCATGGCGCCGCTAGCTCCCGCGTTGCCGTGAGTTAGCGCGCGAGAGGTAGAAGAAGAAGAAGAAAAAGGCGGGAGAGATGGGAGGCGGAGGCGCGCGAAGGTAGGTGGCGCGCGAAGGTGGCATGTGTCCGTACATGTACCGATGTACGGACAAATATACGGAGATCGCGTCTACGTATACTTTTTTTTCGCAAGGGGTCTCGTCTACGTATACTCACTGTATGAAACCGTACATTTGTACGTAGGAGTACGGTTTGGGTCAATTTGGTAGTAGAGCAATTAAGCGTGTAACCGTGCGTGATTAATGCTATTGATGACGCGCACGTTAATTATGAGATGTCGTGCTGGATTATTCGTGGCCGTGACTGACATTATTAATTTGTGGCGCATTTTTTTTAAAGACGTACGGCTGAGATTTATACCTTCTCTTGTTGGGTGCGCATCCAATGGCCAGGATGCCTTCTTCTGCCTCTAGCGACATTTGATCCACCTAAAAATTCATGGAAACTCCCGGGCTTTTCTACCATCTGATTTCCTAACACGAGTTTGAACTGCACTCCTAACCTTTCTACATATCCACGTGGCATATTCTTTGAGGTTCTCGACATGAAGATCGAGGTATATACCTTTCCACTATTTTCTGTTAACTTTGTTATTTAGTTGTTCCGAGAAGTTTTAGAGTTGGACACATGTATTAAAAGAAATGATGAAACTAAATAAGGTATTGTGATTGTTCTATAAGAGGAGGTAGACAGGAAATTTGAATAGCGAAAATTTCTGATATATTGTGAAGAGAATATAGTTAAATTTGAGTAGTTATATTTTAGAACAGAGGGAGCTAGATAGTATTATTAAGATTGGCAACGATGATATTTCTCTATTTGTAAAGTGGTGTAGAGAGGTATATATATACATCGTAATGTCAGTGATGTGGTATACACTTATAATGTGAAGTATATATACCTCCTAGCTAATAGAACTTTCTACACCTCATTAAAAATGGAGAAAAATTCAACAACATATATAGACATAAGTTTCTAAACCTACTCCAACCTATAACTAATAATTTATAATATTAATTGTGGTACCTCCTTTTAAGAGGTATATATGCTATTTAAGGATGGGAAACCTCATATTCTTTCCCTCCCTTAGACATTTTGCATTGCAAAAGCTTCTCGCTGTAGTGTTTCGATCTCCTCACCACAATTTATTGACCTAACTCGACCATATTGAACAATTTAGTCTCTTTTTATATATCCGTCATTAATATATTATTACTACAACTTTCAATAATAACCAAATACAAGAAATTTAGAACTAACCAATTAATGGAATAGGGACGTAAGCGCGGAGGTGGGAAGACACTATCATCGGTAGACCTAGAGTTTGAAAGTTCTGAATTTGCCGACAATTTACCAATCAGCAAGGACATAAACGAATGGTGTGAAACGTGAACACTGATATATAGTACGCTTAACAAAATATATTGATCGTGCATATAGCATAGGCACATATCAATGTGCAGAGTTGTGCATCTCAAGATCTTTCTCACACTTATTAACTGTTCACCCATTTATCCCTCGGGTCTCGGCTTCGTGCTCCCAAATCATTTCTCTCTTAATTATTGTCGCATGAGAAATAGAGGTGACCACACAAATGTATGAGAATATAACATACTCCCTATGTTTTTAAATATTTGACGCCGTTGATTTTTTTAAAATATGTTTAACAGTTCGTCTTATTCAAAAAATTCAAGTAATTATTAATTCTTTTCCTATCATTTGATTCATTGTTAAATATACTTATATGTATACGTATAGTTTTATATATTTCACAAAAGTTTTTAAATAAGACAAACGATCAAACATGTGCTTAAAAAGTTAACGGTGTCAAATATTTAGAAATGGTGAGAGTATATTCTAACAGATTTATGGATTATTAAAAAAAAGTAATTAAACCAACATTTTCTCAAGAAAAAAGAAGGGCACATATATAGGACAGTATATATATATATATAGACAAGAATGTATGGCATATTACAGCCATAGGGATCGACCAGAGACTGCAGTTTCTCATATGTAGCACATGGCCAATAGGCACAACACATGAATATATGCATGTTTATTATTAATTTTACTGGACAGATATCTGCAGAGATAATTGAAAACTTTGGATAATAAATGAATTGATGCGTGCCCGGCCCACAATACGTTGCAAGCACCGCTCTATTATGATCTTATCTGTAATCTGTGCTATCTTGCTTTGGATTCCATGCGTGCACAGCTTGCAGCACAGCTAGCTGCACAGGCAAGGTACTCAGTACTAGATGTATATAATGTGTAGGTGGCAAGTCGCAACTCACAAGTGTAACAGTGTATTTATACAGTTGGACAAAGTTGTGCCACAATATCTTTAATTGTTTCAGCAGCAGTCAAAACAATAATCACTATATATGAATATGTGCCACAATATCTTTAATTGTTTCAGCAGCAGTCAAAACAATAATCACTATATATGAATATGAATACCTCTCAATTTTTTTTTTGGAATACGCAAAAGGATTGCGCACTTTTGTATTAAGAGAAATAAAATTTATACAAATGGCAAACAAAGAAGAGAGATAGGGAAAAAAAGGGAGGGAAAGGGAAAAAAAAAGGACTTAAGCCTACTCTCGCTATTACAATGTGACGACCGAACGACCAAATAAGCTAACTAGGAAGCGCTGGCGACAGGGGATGGGCAAGACGCCACAGGGCGGCTTCTTGCGCCATGGCTGTGACAACCTCAGGCCAGGACCGGGAACGGTTGTTGAACACACGGTTGTTCCTTTCTTTCCAAATGGACCAAGCGCCAAGAGTCACAATCGTATCGAACCCACAACGACGCTCCCTCGGAACTTTGAGCCGGCAAGAGAGTGCCACTCATGGAAGGAAACAGCGCCAGAGGAGAAACACTGAGGGAGGCCGAGGCTTGAAAGGACAGTCCACCATAGCTGGAGGGACTCGGGGCATCCAATCAGAATGTGGTTGATTGTCTCTTCCACTTAGTCACAGAAGACACAAAAAGGCTGGGTGTGGCAGTCCACGCTTCTCCAAACGGTCAGCCATCCAGCAGCGTCGGTGAGCGACCAACCACAGGAAGTAGCGACACCGAGGCGGGGCAAAAGATCGCCAGATTGGCAGGTGCTGAAATGAGATCCTGCCCACGAAGAGGGCAAGGTAAGCCGACCGGGTGGAGTATAACCCCGAACTCTCCCACCTCCAAATGAAAGAATCAGGATGGCCCTCGGAGAGAGTTGTTGTCCGCAGCAACGACCAAATATGCAAGTATTGCAAGATTGCCTGGACTCCCAAGGAGCCATGGAGATCGCGGATCCAACGGTTGTTGGCCAATGCATCAGCAACCAAGAGCTTCCGGCGGACACGAATGCGATCATAGAGCTCGGGTGCCAAAGAGTGAAGACTCGAACCCTGTAGCCATCTGTCCTCCCAGAAGAGGATCGACTTGCCATCGCCAAGGACACAGGTCAAGCGGCCACAAACTCGCGCTCTTGTCTGGAGCACGAGATTTGCAACCCCTGCCAGGATAGGGATTGGGAGGCGCGTTGAGCCCAGAGCCACCTAGAACGGAGTGCAATTCCCATGAACTCCAGGTTGTGGATGCCAAGTCCCCCATATTCCAATGGCGCGCAGACTCAGGACCAAGCCAGCCGGTAGTGGCCACCCTGAGCATTCGCACGACCATACCAGAGGAAGCCGCGTCGTATCTTGTCGATGGCTTTCAGCACCCCAGAGCCACCTAGAATGGAGTGCAATTCCCATGAACTCCAGGTTGTGGATGCCAAGTCCCCCATATTCCAATGGCGCGCAGACTCGGGACCAAGCCAGCCGGTAGTGGCCACCCTGAGCATTCGCACGACCATACCAGAGGAAGCACGACCATACCAGAGGAAGCCGCGTCATATCTTGTCGATGGCTTTCAGCACCCATTTTGGGGGGGCAATGGCGATGAGCAGGTAAACCGGGATCGCACTCAGCACTGCTTTGACAAGTGCTAGGCGCCCGGCCGGCTGGAACCAATCCGATCGCCACAGCGGCAGCCGCTGCGCAATCCTATCGACCAGAGGTTGGAGGCCCTCACGACACAGCTTTCTGATGGAAAGAGTCAAACCCAAATATTTGCATGGGAACTCCTCAACTGGGCAGGGGAAGGAGTTACCAAGTACTGCGACCTCTTCCTCCGAGCAGCTGATCGGGATCGCGGAGCATTTGGTGAAGTTGGTATGAAGACCAGAGGCCTCTCCAAAGAGAGCAAGGATCCCTTGTGCTGCAGCAAGTTCCCCAGCGACCGGCCGGAGGAATGCCTCTCAATTGCAGCTGAATGCTCAATTCAGCTGCAATTGAGAGTTTGATTCCCTGAGTTTAATCATGAGGTGACATACTAATGTGCAAGTGCATCGATCAAGAACAAATACGGAGCTAGGAAATGCACTAGGTGTCAAATCCAATTATGTCACTATGTCTCGTGTAGCATTCATCCATGCATGGAATTATAGAGAATTGATACAGTACTGCATGTTAAGATCGTTAAGTCAAGTTGTCACGCAGGATTGTTTAAGTCGTGTCCTTTGGATTGGAGGATTTTTATAGGAATTTAGAGAATTGAGTTTCTACGGATTTTAATTCTATATGGCCCTTTGGAGGAACAAACTTGGATAAAATCCTGTGTGATAGCTCTTTTTTTTTCCCCTTTGATAAGTCCAATATAATGCACTCCCTCTACTTCCTCACTCTTCCACAAGTGATTCTTGTATAATTCTTGTAGTCTATTTCATGTAAACCATCCTAAAGCACTAGCTAAAATAATCATGTGTTTCAAAATATTCAAAAGAGCAATATATCCCTACATTTTTTTCCTATTTTTGCGGTTTTTGAATGTTGCGTTCTAAAGGAGACCTTACTTAATTAAATAAAAACAATAGATTAATTAATTGGTTACAAGAGTTCATGCTCACGTTCATCGATCTCTCAAAAAATAATGATCCTTAGTTGCACCATGCAATTCAATAACTACTTAGAATAAAAGAAGCTGGGCACCTGGCAGCTGGCATGAAAATAATGTACTCCTATTTATAAACCAACAATGCTTG